TCTTTTTAGCTCTGTATTAGAAACTAGAATTTATTCATACAGCAAAAATTCATTGAAATTCCTATTGTGCGCTTTATGGGTGATTTAGTGGTGAGGAAACAAGGTCTCATTCTGCCTCAAGGAGGGTTCAGTCCAGTGGGAGAGATTGGACATCAGTCAATCACACAGACCAGTGGGGCAATTAGACCTGATCGGTTAGGCCAGGGAGGCTTCCTGGAGGAGGCAATGTTTGATTCACATTGGAAGGATGAACAGGAGTCTGCTAGGCAGAGACTGAAGTGGAGGCATTGCTTCTGCACATGCTTATGAACAGCAGGGAACATGGCAACCTTAAGATCAAAGAGACAAGGAGAAAGTCAGCACATCCTCATCTGTCTCCAGCAGAAGGTTCTTAAACAGCTGCATTCACTCCACTCTAAATCACCCTTAGCTGCAGTTTGCACTCGCAATTTAATAATAGTTTTTCTGGTAAAAAGAGAAATACCACGGTAGCTTACATATTGACTAATATACATCCCAATTTTAGAAATATTAAAAAAATTAAAAGCCTATCTTAGAACCAAGGAAATGAGGTATCAAAATTCAAATGTCAGTCTTGAAATGGTCACTGCTATTATTATCATTGTTTTTCTTACTGATGTTCCCTTGGCCACCACTACGAGCTGGGACGATTTCCATTGGCTGTCTCTGCTGCCCAGGCACCGGCCTCCACCATGTTGATAGGATCTTTTGCTTTCTGCCCAAACCTCTCCTCTCCCCTCCCAGTTCCCTAGTTCTAGTCCCCTGGGTTCCCACCGATTTCTCACACGGTACAGTTTAGCCATGCATGATCTCACTCCCAAACATCTCAGCCCAATCCTCAGAGTGAAATGTGTCCATCCAGGTGAATTACAAAACGAGGGCAGCCCTCTCGCCACGCAGCACAGCACGCTCAGGGACGGCTTACAATGCTAGACGAGGGAAAGTATCAGGGGGAGAAACTACGCCATTCTTTGCAGAAGGGAGCCAGGGCCTGCCTGATTCCTCAGGAGGCAGCATTGGAATAGCTTCTAGAAGGGTGGGCTTGGCCCTGGGCAGGCTGAAAATGCCCTCTCTCTGTGAGCTCTGAGGCTTGGCCAAGGCAGGGGTGGCTAAAGAGCTACCCTGCCCCACCTGCCAGCTAGCAGTAATGCTGACTGCTTCCCTGAGCTTTTGGTAATTAAACGTCCCTCTGCAGAAGGCCGTGGCTTGGGCTGGAGAGGGGCCACGGACGTGTTAAGGTGATTCGCTCCCAACACTGACATTCTTCCGCCAGCATCAGGAGCAGGCTTGAAAACCCAGTCGCACTGGGTGGAGGTGGACATTTGTCACCAGGGCCCTGTGTGTGAGCAGCAAGAAGAAACATGTGCCAATGAGGTTACTTGTAGACTAAGTAGTTCTTTGTCTTTACTCTGAATAATACAGACTTTTTTTTAGCAACTTTTTTGTTTCTGATTATAAAGATGGCTTCATTTTTGTTGTAGAAAGTATGAAACATAAAAGAAAGAATCAATAAAGAAATATAAACCACCTTTCATCTTATCATTCACAGCCAGCCACTGAGAACCTTTTGTGGTGTCTTTTTTTTCCTTGATGCAATGTGCAATTTTTATAAAATATAGGCAGTTTTCCATTGTGCCTTTTGAATGCACACACAATATACTCCTAATTATATTGTATTTGATGGGATCATTAAATATTACTTGGAAACCAGACTGACTGTTTTTTAGCTCATGAGCCCCCTCAGTGCCAGGGCTGAATGGGGCGGCACGGCCGGCAGAACACATGTCCGTGTCAGTAGGAAAATACTCTGGTCTGTGGTGTTCCCCAGACAGACTGCACCGTCCCAGGAGAAATCAGTGCACTGTCTGGGAGAGGACAGATGTGCTGCGTCATTCCAGCAGGCGGAGAAGGAGTGGGAAGCTCCCTGGGGAGGGCATCATGCAGAGAGTAGAATACGGGCTTGGGAGTGTTCCTGGTTTGGATTCTGTCTCTGGCACTAATGAGTTGTCTGGTCATGGTTAACCTACCTAAGCCTCTAAACCTCAGGTTTCTCATCTATAAAGTGGGACTCATGATGTTATCTATTTCACTCGGTGATTGGAGGACAGTACCTGACTTGGAGTGAGTACTCAACGAATGTCGGCTATCATTAGTGTATTATTATTATTAATCTCTCCAATGAAGACTGGGTCAGCTGATCCCATTAGATGAGGATAGTGGGTAGATGGGTTCACTGTTTATGATAATCTTTAGAAGGAAGTAAAAATGTTGGTGGGTTTTAGTATATTCTTTCAGAGAGGAGGCACTTTTAAGGGTTAGGGGGGGTCAAAAGAATGGAATCTCAAGGCTCCTTCCATGATGTTTCCAGGTCGTGAGTTGGGGTATGTCAGTATCTGGTGGGAGGTCACTCACCCAAAGGTCTGGGCCCAGACCAGAGAGAGCTTCCCAATCAGGCTTGATGGGGCTGCTAGGAGTATTTGGCTAATTCAGCAAAAGATTTGTTTTATCAGCCAAGCTTTTTTAGAGTCCTAAATCTGAAATCTGGAATAAAATCTTGCCTTGGTGTGTGTTTCTGGAAGGAAACCCAGGTGCCTGGAGTTGAGGTCTGGGTAAGGTCAGGAGCTTGGAAATAGCATAAGGTGGTTGGAGAGACCTGGGTTTGAATCCCAGCTCTGCACTTTATTAGCTATATGACGTTGGGCAAGAGTCTCAATCTCAGCCTCTCTTTACCTTCTCACTTAATCTGCACTAAACATTTGTACCTTTTCAGTTATTGTGGGGATTAAAAGAGACAAAATCTATGGCATGTCTGACTCAATATACATGCTCAATAAATGTTGATACCACCTACATCCTGCAAGGTAAAACAAGGCCGGATAAGAATGTCTAGGTTTCTTCACCTGTAAGTAAGTAAGTGGAACAAGAAGAATTAAAGACAGAAGCTGACTTAGCCTCTAGGGTCTGGGAGATGTCCTTGTGTCGTTTGACAGTCTGTACTTCCTAAAAACCAGTAGTGGGCCTCCAGTATTTCCTGGTACATCTTAGCAGATATCTACTGCATGTACAACACGTGCCAGGCACTGTACTGAGCCCTGTGCATGGGCGATCAGTGCTTTCATTTCATGGAGGAGAAAAATTGAAGCTCAAGGACATTAAGAAACTCACCCACAGTTTCTTCGCTGTTAAGTGGTGGAGCTGGGAGTTGTACCCAGGTCTCTTTGTCTCTGAGCCCATGTTCACAACTACCCCAAACATATGGGTCTCTAACTGTATAGGTCTTCTGGTAAGTACAAAACAGATGAGGAAGGGCTTTTCAGCTGCTAAATTGTAATCCCCTGAGCCCAGAGACTGTCTGTTACCCTCCTCTCCCTCCCCTCCCAGGCACGCAGCAAATGGGAACCCCTGGAAGCGCGTATTGGGAATCTAACCGTCTGGGTGAGGCTTTCTGTACAACACAGACGTCCTGGGAGGAGTAAGCGTTGATTCTTCAGAACCTGAGCTCATTAGATGTTTATCTTTGATATGGGAAAGACCGGGACTTTCTCAGATCCCGGGAGGCTGCCCGCAGCGACAGGCACTGAACGTCTGGAGAGGAAGGGCGCTTCCCTCCCTTTATTCCTCACGAAGGGAAGGGAGTAACAGGCAGAGGAAGGGGAGCTGACATGAGGAAGACAGCTCCCCAGGCTTCATAAGAAGAAAACATCTGAATTACTGGTCCCCAGGCCCTGGGCATTTGCCGGACAGGGTTTGGAGGGCCTGAAGGCCACATAAAGAATCCATGCCTCTAAGGATGCATAGAACATCACCGCTGAATCTGTCATTTCCTTTTATTTGTTGTTCCCTGGCTCTTGATTCCTTCTGCACTTGTGATTCGTTCGTGGTTCTCCATTTTGATTTGGGCTTGGTCTTCATCTTTACATTCATCTGTGTGGCCCATACCTCAGTTCAGGCCTCGTGCCTCCCTGCCTGGGCTCCTGCCGTCCCCCCGTGCCACATCCCTGCTCCCCGTCTCCTCCCTGCTGCTCCCAGATCAACCTCCCGCGTGGGGCCGTCTGCCTGCGAGCTTCTGCTCTCTCTCCTCTGCCTGATGTAGCCTCAGCCTTTCTTCTCCTGCTGAAAGTCTGCCTCTGGTCTTCCGAGCTCAGCTCACGTCCTTCTCCTTCGTGACCCTGTTCCAAACTATTCCAGCAGTTTCCTTGTCTTCTGAATTCCAGGAGCCCTGACGCGTGCCTGCATCGGGTCCTTCGGCAGTTTGTCACGTGCTTCCTCCTGCCCCTTCTCAGGGCGTTTTGCCCTCTCAGACTACACGGCAGGCTCCTCGCCTGTCTGCTTTCCTCCCCGTCTGTGTCAGGAGCTCTTTAGACGTAATGTTTCTGTCTTATTTACTGAGTTTCCACTACCCGCAAGCACCCTATTGAGGGCTGAGGGACAAGAAAGAGGAATCACTGGGTTTGCTCATCAATAAATACTTGAGGTGAGCACCCCAGAAATCTGTGCTCATTGCCCCAACCCGATTCTAGACAGCTTTTTCACCGACCCCAGGGAGGCCAAGCCAGGAATGCTGCTGGTGTTTGCATTCCGCATCTCTCTCATGTAAAAGCAGATGCCCCAGGAATGCTCTGGAATAACCCCAGTTCTCGAGCCTGTCCCTAGTGAGGTCCTGTTCATCCACCCCAGAGCTCGTTAGCTGTGTCAGTTAGTACCAGCCTCTCCTGCGGAGCAAGGAGGGGGCTCTGTCTCTGGGGTGGGCGCTCCCCATGATCAAGAGCTGCCCGAGTTCAACCCAGGTGGAGCCGAGACCTGTCACTGGGAGTTCAGACCCAGGCACAGTCAAAATGGGACGCTGGCTTCAGAGGAAGAGGCCCTTTCTGCCACCCCTGTGTTCCAAAAGCTCACAGCAACCAGCTTCTGCATCCTCATTTTCCTTAGGGACAAATGAGTTAGAGCATTCATTTAACAAACATTTGCCGAGCACAGTGACCTCTGTTTCCCCAGTGCCTACCTGGCACAGGGCCTGGCACAATCGTAAATATGACAGTCTATGTTTTAAATGAGCCCACATCTAGTTCAATAAATTGAACATCAATTACTGAAAGCAAGGATGGCAAAAGCGGACACATACCTGACCACTCCTTAATTTTGTGTCCTTGGCAGATATTGTTAATGCTAGAACTCATTTGCTTTGAATCTGGATTCAAGTGAGGAGTCAGCCTCAGAATCCTTCTCAACACATCGCACCAGCAGCCACTATTACTGAATTGCATTTTGTCCATGAAATGAAATCTGCTTGGAATCCACTTTTGTCTTTAAAGCGGCCCCAACACGGCTGAGATAGAAGGAAGGGGGCTCAAAACTGCTAGGTTACTGAGTTGTCGTGTCTGTCCAGTGTAGCCTGGGAGACTCCGTTAGTGGGAGTGTTCAAAAGTAACACTGCTCTTGAGGGAACCCTGTAAGATTGCTGCTTAGGGCACCATCATGCTTCTGCCCTCTCTCGTGGCTCCTTTCTGTCTGCCTCTTATGGATTCTCCTTGCACAGCTCAGAGGTAGCTGTCTTGCAAGGTTTAGCTCTCATCCTTCTTGAGGTCTTTTTTTCTTGCCTATTCTCCCAGGTGGAGAGCTAATCTCTTCCCTCAGCTTTTTACTAGCACCCAAATCTATATTATCAGAAATGTCTTTTTCCCCAGTCCAGACTCCTTCCTTTGGCATTGAAGCACCTCCGCCATCCTGACCCTGTTTGTCCCTACAGCCTCCTCCCCAGCCCTGGCTCCCTGACTGCACAGTTTCTGCCGTGAGCACCTGGTCTTCGTCCGTCCTGGGCCCGAGTTGTATAGCATCGACCAGGGTCCTCATTCCATGCCTCTGCACGTGCCCCTCTGCTCTGCGTTGTTGGTCACATCCAGCCTGCGAGTCTCAGCTTCACTGTTGCTTCACTGAGAAAGCCCTCTCAGACTTCTTCATGATTCAGAAGAGAACACGTGCGGTGAGCTTTTAGTCACTCAACAAACAATTGCTATGTGCCTCCTCTGAATCCTTGGTGTGTAGGGAGTGATCCTGCCCTCAGGGAGCTTGCAGTCTGTCCATATTGCTGTCATTAGTTCCTCATGTTTACATGGCATGTGTGTGCCGTGAGACACGCCCCTTGTGGTCAAGGGCTGGGTCCCCGTCCTTGCATCCCCTCCATCCTGTGCACGTGCCAGATGCTCAGCACGTCCTGAGTTGACTGAAAGGTGGCTTCTTCCCCTGCCTGGTTTGCTGTCCGCTCTCTTGAGTGGGTGGTTCTCTGGGAAGCTCATGAAGGGCTGGAGAGCTGGCAGGGGAAGGAACAGCCCATGGAGACTAAGGGAGGGCGATGTCCCTCCTCTGTGCTGGATCCCAGAGCAGCAGGAACTAGGGTGGAAATGGATGCCTCAAATGGGAAGCATTCATGGCCAAGATGCATGAAGAACATGGGTCTGGGTTTTAATTTGCACCTTTTGTGCTTAATAACTTTGAGACCTTGAGCAAGTTGCTTATTTTCTCTGTGCCTTGATGTTCTCATCTGTAAAATGGGTCTTCAGATAATTGAAACAATCCTATAGAGAGATTGTGAAGTTTAAATGAGTAAAGGAGTTTAAATGAATATAAAATATTTCAAATAATTCTTGGCATAAACTTTGGCTGTTGCTTAGATTTTCCTGGCAATGGGACTCACTGGTGATTTTCATTTTTATATCTTTCTGTGACAAAACACATATTGTTTAGGTAATCTGAAAAACATACAGTAAGACTATTTCTTTTGGTATTTTTTGTTTAAAAGACAAGGCAAGAGCATCTAGTGGGTAAGAGGGTTCTAGTGAACCCTGCTAGCCCCTGCTCCTTGCCCAGTGTGGGTATTTCATGGTGTGCTCGGTGAGGGGAGGTAACCTTTAGCTCCCCATCCCACACCTGTCCTTGCCGCTGGTCCCCTGCCAGTTCCAACAGTCAGAATTGCTCACAGTGGAGGTGCCAGCCCTCCTGGATGATGCCACGATTGGGGCCAGTAAATGGGGAACAGAGAATGAAATCATCCAGTAGTTTCTCCGCAAAGAGGATGTGACGGTTTGACAGTGTAGTACTGGGCGCATGGCTGGAGTTTCCCAGGACTTAGCAGAAAGTTCTGAGAGCTGGGAGGCACTCTGCAGAGCCCAGGGGAGAAAGGAAGGAGGGCAAGGTTTGCAAAAGCAGGAGCAAAGCCCGCACGTTTTATGAAGTGTTTTACGGTGGAGCTGTAACTGGAGCCCTGGTACTCAGCAAGAGTTATTAGGTGTGATGGTCTCAACACTGAGAGTCCTGTGGCGGCACGTGTGAGGCTGGCATGAGACACAGGCTGAGCGCCCTGGGGTGGGTTGCTTGGACTCAGCGTGCTGCTTAAATCTGCTTATTGATTGTTTTATAAATGACTATTATTAGTTTTTTACTCTTGGGTCATTCAAAACTCTACTTAAAGACAAACCAAAAACATTTGTCAGTTACTTGCTCTCTGTTTGACACACAGCTAAGCCTAACTGAATGGTCTGATTTTCTCACTACCTTCTGGAGACAAAAAGCACCTTCCAACTCAGAACCCAGTGGACTCTGATGCCATCAGGGTGCTCAGGGCTCCAGAAGCCCTTCTTGCTACAGAGGACAGTGAGCAGGCTGCAGATTGTGCCCTTCGTTCATGTCTCAGTCCCTCAAGCTTTTGGAAATTCAGAACCAGCACATTGTCTGAAAAAAAGGGTTTGGCTTCCTTTTTGTCTTTCTTTCACTCTATGAGGGATGGCAGCCAGGACTCAGTCTTTTGGAACCACAATGGCATGTCAGAAGCAACAAATGCTTGGAGTAGAACAGAAGATCTTAACCAGGGGCCATGGGTACAGGTCTTCAGGGGTCTGTGATTGCAAGGAAAATTTGTTTGTGTGCATTTTCAGGGGAGAATCCCTTAATCCCATCAAGCATGCACGCACAGAATTTTGCCTGTGCACTTACTAGTGAGAAGAGCCTCCTTGCTGTTTCCAGAATTTACCACGCTTGCTCTTGCCTCAGGGCCTTTGCACTTGCTGTTCCCTCTCTAAGGGTGCTTTTCCCCAAGATCCCACATGGTCACCCCTACTTTCTTCAAGTCAGTGAGTATGTCATCTCCTGACCACCTTATATTAAATATCCCCTGTCACTCTCTGTCACACTCACCAGTACCTGGCTTGATTGTTCTTTACGGCATTTATTCCCATGTGGCTTTAATTATTTGTTATCTCCCTCCTGTAGTATGTTAGCCTCTGTGGGGTTTGCGGCTATAGCTGTAGCATATAGAACAGTGCCAAGCCCAGAGTAGATGCTCAGTAAACATCTGTTGAATGAGTGAGTGAATGGACAAATTAATAACTTTGATCTTATTTGGTCTCCAATAATAAAAACAACATTTTTAATGATGGAAAAAGAGGATCTGAGTTCTCAGTGGGGCTACTTCTCAGCCATGCACCTTGGGTCCCAAACATTTCATCTGCCGTGAAACAGTCACCTGGACCCTGCAATAGACGTTTAGGCAGAAGCTTTCAAGGGATTTCACAAAGCTTCTGCATCTACTATTAATTTCATCAGTCCTTGAATACACCAAATGTGTGTGTGTGTGTGTGTAAAAATGGAGGGGCCAGGTCCTCATGCAGAGATAATATCATTATTATTATTATTATTATTATTCTGGTGCACAGATAATGGGTTATTCCCATCTGAAGATGGGGATGCTAACACTACTGACGCACTAACGTGGTTTTTATGACCTGTCTGAAGCCTCACGATGTGTCAGAGCAGGACAGTGATAGAAGTCCCACATGCAAACTCCAGCGCCACCGTAGAATCATTATTATTTCACGGTAACATACTGCTGGTTTGCTTCTTGAACTGGTCACTGCTTTGTTTGCTGACTTCCCAGGATTATGCTTACATAATTTCCTTCTGGCCTTAGCCTCCACGCCATAATCCGAGAGGGCACGCTGGGGGAAAAAAAGATGACCCTTATGTAACTTGTTACGTAAAGAGTCCAGACATGCCGAGTCTCTCTTGAGTGTCTACAGGGTTTTCTTAGAAAGTTCATTTTAATGGAGTTTTATGTTGTCTCTTTCAGCCAATAAATTCTTCAAAAAGCATTCCCTTACTTCTGAGATGGCCAAAGGGAAGGAAGGAAACAGAACGGTACTGACTGCAGCTCTGTAGCAGGCACTTCATAGAAGTTCTTGCATCTAATTTCCTTTTTTCTACAATCTTCTTCCCTTGTATGAATAAGGAAACTGAGGCTCTTGAGCATTAAAGCGAATTGCTGAGGCTCGTACAGCTGGAAAGTAGTGGGACCGGGCTTTAAAGCCAGATGCAGTTTCTTGCTATAGAATGTGCGCCTGCGCCTGCGTGTGTGCGTGCGTGCGCGTGCGTGCGTGCGTGTCTCCAGGTTGGGGGGAGCGTGGAGTAGTTCAGAATCGTGCTGGGCAGCTCTGTTTCTGTCCCATCCTTTTTAAGTCTTAAACTTTGTCCATGGACTGTAATAAAGCAGATGGGGGCTCAGACCATTCCGAGGACTCTGAATATCTTGGAGGCCAGACTGTGGCCAGCTCTTTGATTTCCGTGCCCGGGATGCCCTGTCCTGGCCTCAGCTGTGCCTAGACAGACTGGAGGCCTTTGTGGCTGGTACTTTGGATGCCCTTCTGCCACCCTTTGCCCTTTACCTCTGACTTGGCACTGAGCTGGGTCAGACCCTAAAGAAACAGGTCCCATGTAATCTGCTTGCCCGGCATGAGTTGGGTCTCATTGCTCCTTCTCTCTGCTCAAAGAACTGACACATGAGCAGAGAGCTCAGGTCAGTGTGACCGTCTGCAATGGCTGATATGACAAAG